CTGGCCTTACTACTAGGAACAAGAAGCTACTAGTAGCAAAGGGCATCGCTACTAGGAGCAAGGACGCTACTAGGGGCTCCTGGCCTTACTACTAGGAACAAGAAGCTACTAGGAACAAAATGTATCACACCTCAACAAAAGCATGGTGCACATCCCCCCCGTCGAAAGTGATCAGGTGACATGGTGACGCTCAGACTGCCATCAAGCTCAAGCTCCGAACGTAGATCGGTCCGCCAATGGGAACAAAACAATGATCAGTCAGGGAAGAAGAGCTATCTACTTATATATCATAGTAAGCTCGAGGGTCCTGATGTATGGCAAGCACATCACCACCAAACATCCTTGTATGGATACCATAATATGTACCAATTGTATCTTGACTACGAATCATGTTTGTGCTAGCGGCTGCTAGAGGGGGCTTAACCGGCCCCTATGTGCATACTTCTTTGCAGCCTTCATCCTTCATCTCGATTCTGATTTTCCATATCAGCTGCTGAATGTTCTTATGTCTTCGGTTCGTGCTGCGTTCAACTTTGAAAGGGGTTCTTGTCTAGGGAAGGGGGTGGACGTCGCAGTTTCAGCTTGATTGTCGGCCGGGGACCTGCGTGTTTTGTCGCGATGGTTTTGCTACTTCGTTTGTGTGGTCCTTGTTTCTCGTTCAAGAGCCGCCCTGTGTTGGCCTCATTTGTTGGTCGTGCCGCGTTGTACTTGGACTCTTTGTTTCAAGTCTTGACGTCTCCGGTTGATCCTATTGCTTTGTTCAGAAAAGGTGTCGGAAAATCGTTGGCCTTTTCGCTTTTCTGAGATACCTTCTTGTCTACCCTCACTTTGGTCTGTGTGGTACTCGGCGTTTTCGCGTTGGCAGATGCGATCATCGTCTCTCCCTATTCTGTCGTCGGCTGCCTTTGTTCTGTGAGAGACCGGCGAGGCCCCCAGCTGTACAGGCCCACAGAGGCACTCTTGCTCTGTGAAAATGTTTGAAAGAGCAAGTTCCGGCTTCGTTGTGCACGCGGCTAAAGACCAAGAATATCAAGCCCTTGCTTCCCCACTACACTCGGCAGTTCCAATGGCGATATGTTCAAAAGAATCGAAACTTACTCAAAAAGACAGGGCAGACAACGTACGCAAAGATGTTCGGATGAGCCGTTGTGCGTCGCAGGAGAAGGCCAGAAGCTACTGATACCTTCAAAGCAACAGATCAGATCTTTTGCCAAAAGGGGGGGGCCGGTTGAGCCCGCGCAGGGATGTTTTGTCTTGTCCAGTTGGTGCCACTTCCAAATCTTGAGATAGCTCCCTTCTGCTTGATGAGACTCTGGCTTGGCGCACCGGTGTGCAAGGATTTTGTTCCAAAAAGCAGACGCTAAATATTCATGTTGCATATGAGATTGTTGATGTGTTTGCTTCAAACAGTTCAAACAACATGAGGAGAATTGAGGAGAGCAGTCCAGAAAAGTAGTTCAATGCCAATGTGCGGTGGGTCTGCACCTAAGTACAGCATGACAGCATGCCATCAAAGTACACTCCCCAGACTTGCCCTGCCAAGCAAAACCCTCCTCCAATCCAATCAACAGTGAAGATTGACTTATTGACAGAGCTCAAAATCATTCATCCTAGGATGAGAAACAAGAACAGCCGCACGTTTACTCTTGCAAGTTGAATTCCCAGCCACAGAAAGACTATGAACTGCCTGGCCAAAGCGCCTGTTTAGAACTGTAACGGCGGTCCCTCACAGAATATTGCAGTAGACTTCAACTTGGGTGTCAATTAGACCAAGACACAATGGGCTACCACGAGATTTCTCAGTTCATGTGGGCATCAAAATGAGTGGCTCCGCGCAAGCTGATACTTCTGGGAGTGACACTTTTATGAGGGGTTGTTGGGAACTGAAAGCAGTCGGGGACAATAGCTGTTGATGGAAGCTGGGCAGCCTTCCGAGTGTGCCAGTGTGCCTTGCTGACCAACATCCTGTGGAGTTGTGGAAACGATGATGAAAACGACATGAGACTACTGGGTGCTCCTCGCTGTTTACAGTGAGTGCATCAGAAATCTCGGAATGTCAAAACGACTGTGCATGACCAGCATCCGCCGATCAACCAGGTGCGGAGGGGCGCGGAAATTTTGCAGTTTTCCCAGCTGATCAGCCTTCGCCAACTTGAGGATAGGACCACCTGCCAGGATTGGACCAATCGGTGGTGTGCAAAGATGAGCTTGCCAAGGGCTGGGGAGCGTCAGTCTTCTGAAAACCATCCCTTTTCGTGGCTTGGTTCTTGCCACTTTTCAAGCTTTCATGGAATGTGCCTACAATCTCCCAGAATCCATGTTAGAACAGAATTCACCCCATCGTCATTCCGATAGGAAAACCACATGTTTTGTGGATTCTATGTTTGCGTATGTCCAATTTTGGCCAGCTAACCTGGCTTGCGAAAATAAGTGTGCACTTCCATGATTGTTAGAAAAAAAGTAATCTTCCACTTCCATGAATGTCTGAGAGAGAGTAGATCAGAGGTTGGATCAGGCACCTTCATAGTATCAGAGGTTGGATCGATCATGCAGTAGCTTCAGTAAACTGAACATGGGACAAACATGAACAGCCCTTCGCAATGTCTGGTTAGACTCCCACCGATGTCAATTTGCCCAGCTGGTCTCTTTCTGGGTTCATCCTCCTCGATCGTATGGTTCAATTTCTGGGGCCTTCAGCTTGCCTACTGAAAATGAAGGATGCCTCAGCCAAGGGGATGCTGTCTCTAATTGCCTGGCTTCACCCATGAGTGCCATGAGTCTCACCTTCGACGTGATCCAAAAACATGGCGCAACAAAGACAACAACTCCTTGACGCATCCCTTTTCTCCCGACGCACTCCAGATTGCCATTCGGCATCCAGGGAACGGAAAATCCACTGACTGCATCACATCCAGTGCTCAGGGCTCTCGTTGACTGCCAGTAGGGTGAAAGCCCATGTTTGGGGATCCGCCCCCACTGGGTCCACAAGTTAACATCCTCAAATCAAGCAGTAAGCAGTGGGACAATTGAACCTGGTGCAGACCAGAATTATTGTGGAACTATGTAGAAGATTGTAGAAGAAGTGATTGAATCTCTGCGCTCTTCAGCGCTCCTTTATAGACGGCTTGTCGGGCAGCTTCATGGTTGCCCGTGTTGCGACCAAGCAAGCGAAACCAAAAATCGGCAAACTGATGTGTGCCGGAAGCGTTCCGCAAGAAGGTGAGAGGCAGCCGCCAGCCTCATGAAATGAAATCCAGTTGGTTAGTGTATCCCGAGTTGGTCAGTTGAAGTCTCTGGCATTCTTCGACACTTTCTGGCCCATCACCCAAGCATGAGGACCCAATCCAGCCACACGCTAAAGCCCCCCCTTGGCCTGATCAGGAACCCATTAGTCTCTGTGGGTGAGCCTTATGGCCGTGGGGATTGGGGGACCAGGGGTAGTTTTGCCCCTCCAGCAGGGCGCAGGGATTCCTTTCAGTCATCTCTGAGGGGGATTGGAGCAATCAGATTTCATCGCAAAAGGAAGAAGCACTTCGGCTCATCTTTCACATCCATACACTTGGCTGCGGGTCAAAACCAGCCCAACCAGGATGTCTTGGTGGCCCTACCTGGAAGGTGAAATCTACAGGATGGTGGGGCTCCAGCTTTTGACCCATTCATACACTTGAGTGACAGTCTCTGCTATCCCTCGCGCTGAAGCCAACCCAAAAGGCTTGCCTGAAGAGGAATGGGCCAAGAACAAGAACGTTTCTTAGTGAAGACAACAGCAGAGCTGTGTGATAACCGCAAATAAATTGACCTCCATACTGTACAGTTGTGACTCGTGACCTTGTTCTTGTTGCTGAGTCTGGTTGAATAAGGATGCGCACTTTTCCGGACGCTCTTCTTAAGGGGCTTCCTGTTAGCATCGCAACTATATATATATATATACGACTGCAGGGTCTGTTTGGTGAGGTCCTTCAAGATTGCTTTTGCACGCCCGACAAACTCCATGAGTGGTTGACTTTATCGGCAACTTCACCCCAACATCATTGCTTTCACAACTTGGTCCGTGCACCCCCCTGCAGCTGCATGCCGGTCTGCCCGAGCCATGATCTCGCAGGTGGGCAGCGCTGTCTTCTGGTATCGCTCGGGAAAGATTTGAGCAAGTGCTACGTAGATAGTGACCTGTAAAGACAACGAAGTGAGGCCAATTGAAGGTTGCGGAGGTACAAAGGAGTCTCCAGTTTTTCACAAGCTGAAGGGTTACAGTAGTTGGATTCTTGAGAAAGTGTGACTGGGACGTATGGGAAAGAACACAAATGTACCTGGTCCAATGTTCAGTACTATCTGGACTGAAACAATGAACCATGATTGGGTTGAAATCTGCAGAACTGGTGCCAAGACAGGTTTAAAAGACGTCCAGGATTTTGAGGGGACCCTGTTGTGTGCAGCCGGTCATTCATCCATGTCGTCTAGGATTGGGGGGGGCCATGTCTTGGTGGTCGAAGAAACTGTTGGCCATCCTGGTGGCATGCCCTCTGCTCACAACCGCACCAAACCCAACCACGCACTCCGAATACCAGTGCTTTGCACCCCCAGGGCTAGGACGCGTTGACACGAGTCGATTCGCACAGTAAGAAGTTCGCAACCGCCCTGGCCTTTGAGCAGGGTGGAGTCCAAGAGTCTGATTTTTTTTCGTGTTTTTGTCATGGAAAGTGGAATGGCACCCTTTTTGCGGGGGTCTGTCACTCTGTCCCTGGCACTTTCAAAGAGTTTTTGAACAACTGCAATATCAGTGTATTTTCTTGTTGGACCATCTGCGAAAGATGTTCACTGCAGCTCCGATTGTCAAATCAGTTCTTTGCACATTACTGTACTGTGTATGGTTCGTCTTTTAATCTACCATTCCACCCGTCGCTAACAAGTGCATCGCTACTAGTAGCAAGGACGCTACTAGCAACCAGTGCATTGTTACTAGTAGCATCGCTACTCCAGCCAAAAATTCGCCTCAACGGCTGTTGCTCTTCCGAAACCCTAAACCGCCGAGCCACAAAGACCACCGAGAGCGCCATCCGTGCCACGATGGCCACGGAGATGGTGAAGGGGCTATCCACCTCAGGTGCTCCGCTCAAAGCCACAGCCACCTTCTCTTAATTTTTGGAAACGCGACATCCGAATGTAGGGAAGTCTTTCCCATTGGACATGATTGATTTGAAAAGAGCTGTTCTCTATGGGGTCTTTTTCTGAGGTCTATTCAATTCAAAGGATTTGAACTTCTGGGAGGTTTCTAAAGGGATGTCGCCCATGTCCGTGGAACATAGTCATGTCTATCATAGAGCCAGGCTTTCACCTGCACCCATGGGACTTTGGTCAGAAATTCAGCACTTCACCTGTGCATGTGGATGCTGCTTCTTGTGTGTGATCGGATCCGAAGCCGACTAGGCTCGATCCCTCCGAACTCCATCGCGACCCCCGTGGCGCCACGGTGCCGTGCCCAGCGCGCACGCCAGGAGTGACAGCGCTGCCGCGAGGAAGCCACCCAGCTGCGCACGCAAGAGACCCCAGCGGCTGGCGCAGCTGGCGAAGAGGCATGCCAAGACATCGGAACCACTGATGAGCGTGGCACTGATGAAGGGGTTGGAAGAAAGGGAATCAGCGGAATAGCTCAAGCCATAGTAGGCCTGAGTACGCTTTGGCAGCAAAAAAAACAAAGGTGCAAAAAGGGGTGTCTGGTGTTTTTCAGGATGGAGCATATGATTCTGTTTGTGCACAAATCATTGCCATTTCAGCAGATTGGCAAAAACGGTGGCCATGAAGCAAATGCCCAAGTTCGCCAAATCCTGTCGCATTGCTGGACTCATCCCCTCCTCTGCCTCCTCTTCGATTTTGGACACAGGCACACCCTCGCAGTCGTTGTGCTGGTCTGATGCGGCAGCCCCAGCTGGCACGGGCGATGTGCAAAGAGATTTGGGAAGCCCCCCTGAGGACGCTGCCAAGGTCTGGAAAGCCAACAAAGAGGCCCAAAAGCATCGGGAGGCCAAACCAAGTCCTCATGAAGCACGACGGACTTTCAAGCAAAAGGATCTCATTTGGGTTCAATGAGTGGAAAGCAATGGAAAGCAGCAAAGGGTAAAACGAACAACTGGACCACCAGCACATGGTGTTTTTGGGAAGTGCCAATTTTCAGGTGCCAATTTTCAGAGGCTTCTGATCTTCGATGGATTCTTCTCCCAGCGAACCGAAAAAAAGTGGATCGAATCATCCTGACGGATCGAATCTGCAATGCACAAAGAGCTCAGGCCGCCAGGGTTGACGAGAAAATCCAGAGAAAGAGGGAGTCAATGTCCACTGTGAAAGGTGCTTTTTGAGCCAGTTCGCCCCCCCAACAACTTTGCCTCCCTCACGAATCCTGGAAGTAGAAGCTACTGTAAGCTGATGACTTTTTCCAACCCCACCTCACCTACCAGAATGGCTTAAGACATCGCTACTGGGGTCTTCTTCATCAACCTTTATTTATTAGGAACAAAGGGCATCGCTACTAGGAGCAAGGACGCTACTAGGGGCTCCTGGCATCGCTACTAGTAACAAGAAGCTACTAGTAACAAGAAGCTACTAGGGGCTCCTGGCATCGCTACTAGGAGCAAGGACGCTACTAGGGGCTCCTGGCCTTACTACTAGTAACAAGAAGCTACTAGTAACAAGAAGCTACTAGGGGCTCCTGGCATCGCTACTAGGAGCAAGGACGCTACTAGGGGCTCCTGGCCTTGCTACTAGTAACAAGAAGCTACTAGTAACAAGAAGCTACTAAGAGCTCTTGGCATCGCTACTAGGAGCAAGGACGCTATTAGGGGCTCCTGGCCTTACTACTAGTAACAAGAAGCTACTAGTAACAAGAAGCTACTAGGGGCTCCCGCCATCGCTACTAGGAGCAAGGACGCTACTAGGGGCTCCTGCCCTTACTACTAGTAACAAGAAGCTACTAGGGGCTCCTGGCATCGCTACTAGGAGCAAAGACGCTACTAGGGGCTCCTGGCCTTACTACTAGTAACAAGAAGCTACTAGTAGCAACCTGGCGGAGACGACTTCCGTCGATCCAATCTTTTCCACTCGCCCAGGCTCAAGGCTTCGATCCGCCAGTCCGTCGTGAGCGTCACGGTGCCACAGAGCACGGCCATAAGGACGGCCACTACGGCATAAAGAGCATTCACCAACGAGCACAACTCACTGCCACGGCCTGAAATTCCGCTTGAAAAGGACCAGTAACAACAAGTTGTTCTACAGTGGAAGACGAAAACCTGAAGGTTCAGCGGTGACCAGATGTTCTGTTGCAAACTGTCCAGAAACTAAGAGATGGCCCTCTCCATTCTTCCCAAACTCGGAGATGGCCCCCATGTTTGGCTCTCCTGATGCTTCGTTTCGCGTCATGACGCGGTTTGGGTGCGGTCCGGACCGTGCTTGACCAGCCTGGGAAGCAGTGCTGCATGTACATGTACTGGACACCTTGAATGTTCAGACACATGCCGTGCAGTAGCCTCACCAGGCACAAGAGAGTCATGCTCAATGCAGTGATATAGGGCAAAGTGATGGTCGCCACGGACAGGCCCAGCATGATCGCTGCCAGGAAGACCACCACCTTGGACTGATGGCGATTGGCAAGACTGAAATGGAAGGTAGGTCCAAAGCTAATTGATGTAACTCAAGCCACTTGTATCCACTTGTGCTCCTTTGCTCGTTCACAAGAGACCTTGTGGCGAACCCCTTGCAAGCGAAAATGTCTGAAACAGAGTCAGCCAAAAGGGTCGTGGGGAGACGGAAAATCAATTTGTAGGCTGTGTTGGCCTGCCTTCAGTTGGCTTGGAGACGATGGGCGACAAAAAGAGATATTGAAGGTGAGTTCACATGGTTCTGATCTATATTTGTTTTGTGGTTACTGATACTTCGATAACCACGGGTGACAAGCATCGCATAGCTCCGCAAACCTTTTGAATATCATTCAATACTCAAGCAAAAGTAAAGAAACTAGACGACGAGTGGCCCGAAAGCATTTCTCATCACGTAGGAAGTCAGAGTGCGAGTTATCCGGTAAGTGTGCAGTGAGAAGTGTGAAGTCGAGTGAGTTGAGGTAGTGTGTGGGTTTCTGTGCGTGTGTCTATGTCCGTGTGGAAATGAGTCTGCGTATGTGTGTGTTCGTGTAAGTTGAGGGAGTGTGTGGGTGTCTGTGTGTGATGCGGCCTCCCAAACCCCCCACCGGCGGCCAAGCGGTGACAGCCCAGCTCATCGTCGTGAGCATTTGGGCTGCTGGTAAGGGGACAATGGCAGCCAGCGTGCTGGCTTACCCACTTCAACTATGATGGTAGCCAGCGTGCTGGCTTTGCCATCTCAACAATGGCAGCCAGCGTGCTGGCTTACCCACTTCAACTATGATGGTAGCCAGCGTGCTGGCTTTCCATCTGGACAATGGCAGCCAGCAAGCTGACTTCCACTGCCTGTTATCAAAGGCACGTGTTAGTTGTACTACCAAGTCGCCAGTTCTCATCTTCCAGCTCCCCAGCTACTCCGCGCACTACAGTTATACTACACCGTCGCCAGTTCGCAGCTACTACCCACTCCCAGTTCTCCTCTTCCCATTCCCCAGCTACTCTGCGTACTAACGTTGTACTACCAAGTCGCCAGTTCTCATCTTCCCAGTCCCCAGCTACTCTGCGTACTAAAGTTGTACTACCAGGTCGCCAGTTCTCATCTTCCAGCTCCCCACCTACTCCGCATACTAAGGTTGTACTATAAAGTCGCCGGTTCTCAGCTACTACCCACTCACCAGTTCTCATCTTCCCACTCCCCA